CTCAGAGATTTAGGGAGACTGAGCACATGCTTTTGAGAATAAATCATTAATTTTAATTTTGACATTTGCCACATCCTCCTCTTAGTTTCCAGACCAGTCATGTCCTGGCTTTGGGAAAAAAGCAAGTTATTGGTCACTAATTCAGAGTACATATTGCATCCTGTAAAAGAGCATCTCAATCTCATAACGCATTGGGAACATGGGGAAATGAACATAGTTAACATGCAAGAAAAGACAGTTGTGATTTATTTGCATTTTTACATTGATATGATGTTTGTTCATATAGTTCTAAAGCAAAATAATTAAAACAAGAACAAAAAGCCCAGTGATTAAATCAGAAGAAAATTTTAGCAAACATCTAGATAAGGATACTATATTGTCTGCTCAGGCTACCGTTTCAAAGTACCACAGCCTGGGTGGCTTCAACAACAAAGATTATTTTCTCACAGTTCTGGAGGCTGGAAGTCCAAGATGAAGGTGTCTGCAGGGTTGATTTCTCCTGAGGCCCCTCCGCTGGATTTACAGATGGAAGTCTTCTCTCCACATCTTCACATGGCCTTTTCTCTGCATGCATGAGCTTGTGGTGTCTTTTTGTGTATCTAAATATTTTTCTTTTTTTAAAATAAGGACACCAGTCAGATTGGATCAAGGCTACCCTAACAGTCTTTTACCTTAGTTACCTCTTACAGTCCCAGTCTTCAAATACAATCCCATTCTGAGATACTGGAGGTTTTGGCTTTGGCATATACATTTGAGGAAGACACAATTCAACTAATAACAGATATATGCTGAAACCAAAAACAAAACCAAACTGTGAAACTCTTGGAAGAAAGAGTATGTTGTCAAAAAAAAAACAGAACATTTTAAAGATTTCTGGAAATACTGAGCCATCGTACCCTCACAAATTTTTTGAGAGTATCTGCATTACCACACTTTTGTCAGCAGAATTACTTAAAATGAAAACAGCAACAACAAAACAAAAACCTCAAAGTCTTTGCTAAATTGAAAGGTTAAAAAAATTGTTTTAATTTGCATCTTTTTTGTTTATTGCTGATTTGAACATTTTTTTCATGTGCTTATTGGACAGTTATCTTTTCTCTTCCACGAACGTTTCATCTTTACCAATTTTTTATTGTGCTTTTGGTGTATTTCTAGTAGTGTTACATGAGCTGGTTATATATGTTGCCTGCGGCGTGTGCTGTTAATACTTTAGAGATTCACAAACATATTTTTAAGATTCATGAGATGCACGTTTTTAGAATTCATCAAAATGAAAATTTCAACTCTTTAACAAAATGAAAATGAAGGAATCTGCACTGTTTTTGTGCTGATGAACAACTACCAAGTGCTTCCCCAGTAAGAAAGATCAGAATAACTGCAGGCAGGGCCAAAAAATTTTCGGGAAGCAAATATTGTACTGAACAAATACTCCATAACTTTAAATACGGAAGACATGAGCCTGGCCTAAATTTTGGGAATGGGGTAGACTGCCCAGGTCTGGTCCCAGCATGTGCTTGTCACAGTCCCCTGACTCTCTAAGTGTTGACTGAGTGAGAGAATGAATGGGTGCACCAATGGTTTGTTCTTCATGCAGGATATAGGATTAAAAATAAGTCTTGTGGGTTTTTCTTGTAAATTGGCACTGAGCTTTGAAAGGAGTATTTCAGCAGACTAAGGAGTGTAATTTGGAGTAGATAGGGGCTTTTAATTAGACAATATGTACTAGTTCATCTTAAGGGAGATGAGAAAATTAATAAGAAAAGAACTGAGAAATTAATAAGAAAAACGAATTTAGGAAGGACAAGAGACCGCCACTTAGGGCAGGCTATACATTTATGCGGAGGAGCAGTGTCTCCCTCAGGCGTTTCATACGATGTGTTATATCTGGTAATTGTTTCACATAGGGAGTATTTATAACTTATCAAAGCCAAAGGTGAATATTATAGGACTATATGGATGGGAGAAATAGTTCATCTTTCATCTTACCAACTATAAATGATGCTTCAAAATCCATGTTTATTATGGGTCTTTTCATGGTAATGCTTATTGAGATAACATGGGTTACCAAGTAAAAATTTATTTATAAATTGACTTTGAATTCTGCTTACATAAGTGTTGTCTTGCCAGTTTAATGGGGATTAATTTACTTTCCTCCTTATGTGTTCCTGTGTGTAAAAGGGCTTGCTTCCTGGCAGTCTTTTCTATATTTAGAACAAGTTTCCACTTGGCAAACTAGCCTTCTCAGTATCTACACTCAGAAGAGCCATGGGTGGGGCTCAATCTATGATCTGCTTACATGCCTTTCCAGAGGCAATTTCTGATATTCCCTGGATTATGGAATGTTTTTCTGGTATCAAAGAGACCCTGTCCCAAGGATTTCTTCCCTCCCAAATCTCACTATTACAGATGGGAAAAAAATTCAAATATGAAAGATCCTAAAATATTGGCTTCACCCGAGGTTTTAGTTTTCCAGTTATATTCCATTGGCTGCCGTTTAACCATTTCAAGACAGCTGTGAGAGTTTTTCTCTTGGATTCTAATCACTGTCTACACTGGTCCTGGGGAAAGAGTTTCCCGTACAAATGTTCTTTGCTGGGGCTTCCACGCTCAGATCTATGGGAGTATATTTTGGACTGTAAAATGAGGCAATTATAAAAATTCTTTAGGCTCTTAAATTGGGAAGACATGGAGCATATATACCTTGAGATGACCCTCCAGTCCTGTGTTTTGAGGGAGCTAAGTTTGGATTAAGTTTGACATAGGGTAGAGGAAAGAGTGTGGGCTTTTGATTCAGACTGTCTTAGCTTTAGCTAGCATTTCTGTCATCTCCTAGCTCTGTGATTTTGGGCAAAATTTAACCTATCCTCAGTTTCCCTTATTTGTAAAATGAAGGTGGGTAGCATCTCTTCATAGGATTGAGGGATAACTACATAGACACAGGTAAAAGGTAACAGTGTTTGGCCACAGGTGATAGACAATCACTGTTACTGTCCACACAGGTACAATACAGCCTATCAACACCTCGTGGGGGAGAATATGGACTTCCTAGATTCAGCTCCTCTGGGGAGGGACACGTCCCTCTGGATCCCAGGACACAGAACACTTCTGAGGAAAGTGGTGAGGTTTCATTTCATCAAGATCCCATCTCGTATAATGTCTATTAAATAGGCACTGCTTATCCACCAGATACTCTTTATGACTCAAAGGTGATGGCATGACCTCTAGGAGTGACAAATATGTAACTAATTATAAAAATGTAAGTGCCATGCTAAGTCACTTGAATAATTAATGAGAATAAATTCTACCCAGATCTGAAGCAGATGTGCCAATGTGCCCCCTCTGCCAACCTCTCATCAAACAAACAAAAAAGTCCACAGGGAAACTCAAAACTCTACAGCCATCTTCCAGAATCAGCCCTGAGGAAACATCCTTTAGTGCTTGGCCCACTGAGCCCTAAAGTAAAACCCACTGAGATTTATAACATGGGTTTCCAAATAAAAATGTCCAAATTACCTACTCAGAGGGACCTACCCTAAGACCCTCCTGCTTCATACATGGGCGATTCAGAAAGACTAGCCACCAATAGGTGACTAGATATGGCTGGGAACCATAGCTTTTCACTTACATTTCTTAGATACTATGTTTCCTAATATGAGGTAAAACAAAAAATTCTGTCAAGTCGCATTTGCGTTTTAAGTCTTATTGGTTTCTATAGAACCATGAAATGCAGTTCCTAAAATTTAGGGCTATTTGCACTTCTTTTTCTACTCGTTGAAAGTTAGAGACTCACTCCAAACATCTTAGTTTGCAGATGAAGAAAATACAGTCCAGAAAAGTGACCCAGGTAAGGCCTGAGGCAAGCCAGAAACAGAGGCAGGACTAAGATTCAATTTCTCTAACCTCTATCCCAGGCTTTGGGATCTCTAAATGTAATTACAATAGCAATCAGATAGTAACACAGGTCATGGGAGCTCTTGGCAGCACCAATATATTAACCACAGAAACAGAAGGTGGCTGGTGCATGCATCTCTTGACCAAACCTTCCCCTAACAATTATTGTACAGATAGGGAATAAAAATGGATAATCTGCTCTTGACACTTTTATACGGGATATCATGGCTGCTCCTGACAGAAGCCTAAAGAGTTCAATAAACTTTTCTGAAATAGAAGAGTGCTTTTTTTTTTTTTTTTTTTTGAGACGGAGTCTCACTCCATCACCAGGTGCCAGGTTGGAGTGCAGTGGTGCAACCTCGGGTCACTGCAACCTCCGCCTCCCGGGTTCAAGCAATTCTCCTGCCTCAGCCTCCCTCCTGACTAGCTGGGACTACAGGCTTGCGCCACCACGCCCAGCTAATTTTTTTGTATTTTTAGTAGAGACAGGGTTTCACCATGTTGGCCAGGATGGTCTCGATCTCTTGACGTCGTGATCCGCCTGCCTCGGCCTCCCCAAGTGCTAGGATTACAGGCATGAGCCACTGCGCCTAGCCAGGAACAGTGCTTTCAAAAGGGAAAATGGTTTTGTAGGCCACTTGTCCTTTAACACAACTCATAGAAGAAAGGTAAGTACAGTTAGGCTAAAAAGCTTCCTTGATTTTGAGTACAAAAATGTGTTCATTTCAGTCATTTCCTTTTAAAGAATAATGAATTCATTAGTGTGTTATAAATAGAATGCAAGAATAGGTGCAGTGGCTCATGCCTGTAATCCCAGCACTTTGAGAGGCTGAGGCAGGCGGATCACCTGAGCGCAGAAGTTTGAGACCAGCCTGGGCGACATGGTGAAACCCTGTCTCTACTAAAAATACAAAAATGAGCTACACATGTTGGCACACACCTGTAATCCCAGCTACTCAGGAGGCTGAGGCAAGAGAATCGCTTGAACCTGGGAGGCAGAGGTTGCAATAAGCCGAGATCGCGCCATCACACTATAGCCTGGGGGACAGAGCAAGACTCTGTTTCAAACTAAATAAATAAATAAAAGATAAAAAAATACAGAATGCATAGACAAATGACACAATTCAGCTTTATTTTTACTTAATTATAACAATTTTTAAAAACTCCATGACTTTGTGCTATTTCTAATATTTTAAATACAAAACATTTCAAATTTTGCACAAATAATTTTGGCTAATGCATTACTATATTTGAATAAAGTCAGATGAAGCAATGATTCCTCCTCTGTGTTTGAAAGGAATGACTGTGGTTACAAAGTCGCAGAATGAGTCCCTGGGATCTGGGGTGGGAGAAGGGGTGGATTAAAATGCTTTGGGTTTGTCACTCCCTAGCAGGCTGAGGGTGTGGCACGGCAGCTCCGTGGTGGAGAAGTCTATTCTAGTTTCTAATACCCCAAAGCTAACTTTTCGGATGTACTTCTTTCTGGCATGTAGAAAGGCCTTTCCTGGGCTGACAGGAAGTGGGGAGCAGGGATGTGGCATGGTGATGATCTGGGGACAGCCAGGCATATGCTCAGATGCTTTGGAAAACTGGGGAGGGGAACAGGGAGACAGAATCTTCATCTTCTTCCTTTTGTGGACTGGGGAGGAGGGCGCTTGGTGACAATTTCCTGAGTGTAAAGAAGGAATACAGGTTTGAAAGGTTTGTAATTATATGTTAAAACAGGTACTGAAAACCAATACTGGGGGGTGGGGGAGAAGACGCTGTAAACACTTCTATTTAAAATGAAGATTTCTGGAACAACTATACCAACAGTGGTATCGTAAGTCTTTAGCTGGTAAGATCTAGCACTGAACTGTTAATTTTTTTTAACTTGTGAGGGATCTTTTTAAAGCACCACTTAAAACCTATATATTAAAAAAATTAAATATAGAAAAATTGTTCTAATAAATGAGTTTGAGAATGCACAGAAAACAACAGAACCCATTTTTTAACCTCTGATAACTGAAGTGGAGCATGAAATTCAAAGCCACTTTGAGGATGTCCTACATTGTTTACCTAAAGGGAAACAAATGCAGAGCTATCAAAGAGTTTCTTGATAAATTCCCAGACCTTGGAGGGCTACAGCTTTTCATAAATATGGTCACTGGACTGATGACTTCTAAATTTTAAATTTGATACCCCCAAAAAGTAACATATACGATTTATAAGTGTGTTTTTTTTTTTTTTTTGAGAAATGACCAAAAAATTGGAACTAGTTTTAACAATCTCTGAAAACTTTAAATTCTACACATATTTTGAAACGCACTTCCAAACAAGATAGACTAAAACAGTAACACGTCTACTACACTACAGAAGTAGCTTAACTTGCCAAGACATCCTCCTTTGTCCTTGTTTCCTGGAAGAGTTGCTAGGTCATTTTTTGCCGGTGGCCAGCAGCCTCTTTAAGAACAACAAAGGATCTACTGTAAAAGTCATTCTCAGATGTTTGCCCTGCCAGCTAACGCCTTCTCTGCACACCCCTCCCGGAGCACGGAGCCCGCAGGGCTGGCTGGCCCTGGCTCTGGCCTCACCGCCGGCTGGGCCGCCTTTCGTACTTGTCCTGGCTGCTCCGCTTCCGTGGTGGGGAGTAACTGACGGAGCCTCGGGCACGGAAGCTGTGCTTGTAAGGATGGCTTCTGTGTTTCTTCGGGTTTTCTTCTTTCTGGGCCTGGCTCTTTGCTGGTTCCTTATCGCCCTCTTTTTGTTCATGGTCTTGCTCTTTATGAGAGGGCAATGTGTTTTTAATTGTGTTAATTAGAAATCTTTTATTGGTACCAGCAAGAGGACACTTCATCCTGGGGTTGCGGGGAGAAAAGAAAAACCATCACAAATCAAATGGTTAACTCCAAAGCTGGACCCACTATCGTGATTAGTACCAAAGAATCCTGCTCCCTCAGAATCGAGTTTATGAATTTGTTAGCTTTCCTTGCATGCCACCTAGTGTAAACTCTGAGTACCAGGGGGAAAAAAAATCAAGACGATTGAATTCTTGAGACAAGACTGCCTAGGCCCTGTCTGAACACTTTTTAAATCTTTCTTCCTTCCTGGGACTAAATTTCCTGCTGAAGTTCATATGTACCAGTACTGACCACACTGTGAATTAACAGAATCACTTAATATTTTCTTTCAACTAGTAGGTGCCCGATTTGACTATAATCTGTTTTGGATTAAATTTATTCTGTGTTGCATTTTATTACCAGATAGTGAAAATTGTTCCTTTTCAAGGAGCCAAAAAAGTATATTCTGCTGAATCTTAAATACAGGAGCTAAATGATCTACTCAAAAAAAAAAAAAAAAAAAAAAACTGTGTAAAGAATCTATAAATATGCACTAATCTTTTACTTAAAAAAATTTTTACATTTCTATTTCAGGATGCTGGGCTATGCTCTGTGGAGGAGAGCTTTACTCACTCTCCTGCTCTCGTGAATTTCATTACAGGATATATTTAAGTAGCTTCATGATTCAAGTTCACCTAGGAGAGGCTGCAGCCAATCAAACTGCTAATTTACACGCTTAGAGATCTAATAAGATCTTAATACTATTTATTTTCTTTTTCAGGTGTTAATCTTTCATTTTCAAAATGATGACCCTACACAAATGAGAACTTGCATTTCTCTTGGTCTTGAAGTATCTGCCATATAATAGGCTACTTTACAAGTACGCTGATCCTCAAAATCATGTTATTCAGGGTGGCTGGTATTAAACAAAAATGCAGGTAGAATAGCCACCTTTCTGTAAATTGTGATTTACAGAGAACTCCACACAGCACTTTAAAATCAAGCCAACAACACTCCACCGTAGGAACTGTGTGGACTAGTACTGCACAGGGGAAGCACAAGCAGTCATTCATCACTTACAGAGTTCAGACCACCTCAGAAAGCCAAAATGGCACCGAATCTGGAAGTAAAAGGAAGAAAAAAAAGAAAAGGCCTCCTGCTGCAAGTAGGTAGCTCTTGAGCCTTCAAGGACAGAGAAAATATTTGACAAGAATCAATGTTTACTCCCAGTGTGCTGTGCCTGTTTAATGGTCAAGCCAGAAAAGTGACAAAGGAACGAACTAGAACAAGGAGGAAACTAAATTTAGAGAAGGACAGTGGAGTGCAATAGAAACAGTGGGGACATTCAGAGGTGGTGACAGCTCTGGAGTTTAGAAGCCCCAGTGAATGAGATGAGGGGCAAAAAAAAAGGCGATAACAAAGGAAAAACAGTTCTGCATGTACTGCCGGGTACGAGCTACAGAGCTTCACGGAGCTTCCAGAAAAAGTACACCAGCGTCATGCTTCCTTAGTAGTCTCAAGGTAAAGACATTTCTACCTCCTGGGGGCATGCTGGCATTAGGGCACTCGTGTGCAGGAAGGCAGGCACGTGATGAGAGGCAAGCCGAGTGCTCCTGCAGGGTCTGATGGTACTACTGAATGCAGGTGCTGCTTTGGTGAAATCAGACAGTATTATACACTGGCATGTTCCAAAACAGCATAACACTGACAGCCTACAGGAAAAACTCCCCTTCATCACAGAAAGTAAAAAGCTTAGAGGGCCCATCTGTGGCAATGGTGACCTGGTGCTTACTATAGAAGCAAAATCTTTTTTATAGGCAAAGGAACTACATATGTTTCTTGGATATATAGGGCTACAGAAGAATTCTGGGGTATTTTCACTGAAGTGGGCCATCTCAGTGGTAGTAAACTGGCCAGTTCTTCTCTGCATCAAACAACAAGGAAAGGTACTTTCCTCAGATGTGATGGTCGTCCAGGATCTCAGAATGAAACCTTTGGTAACTACTGGTGAATTCCACTCTATTTTGCTATCTGCAATGTCAGATCATCTTTAAAACCAAATGCTTCCTTGAGGGGGGCAAAGCCCTGCTACTTAACTGTAGCATTCATGCCAAGAGGCAGACGGGACTGCACCTATCTTCCAACTGCTAGTGTAACCCACTGACTCAACATAGTGACCCAAAGAGTTAGACGATGAGATGGTTTTCTAGAATAATTCCACAAGAACACTGGCATTTACATCTCTTTTAACATCAGAGATGCCGTTTTTAAGCGTTGGTTATGGCTGGAATTCTATTCTAGATGAAAAGCCAAGGGTGGCTTGAATGGATCTTGGTTTACTGGGGTGGGGTGGAGGTGGGGTTTGAAAGTCAGCCATCTCCCAGGCATGCCAGTGCACATTTTAGAAGTGATGACAAGTGCTCATCCACACTCTACAAATACATAGGGCAGGGCAATGAGATACAGTAGTTGCAAGCAGATGTGAAGGTACATACAGTACAATAAATAATGTTGTGTAAAGAAATTCCAAAATTTGCATTGAACAGATCCAAGTATAAGGACGCAACATCAAAACCAAAGGCTCTCTGGCCTTTAAGGCAGAAATTAATTTTGCTGACTCTCACAGCCAGTTGTTTCATTGCTAAGAAATCATACTGCATGAGACAGTGGCTGAGCACACATGCTCTGGAAACACACTATCTTTCAGACTGGACTTTGGGCATGTTATGTAATCTCCCTGCTGCCTCTTAGCTGTTAAGGGGGGATAATAATGGCGACTATCTTAAAGGGTTGCATGCAGATCAAATGAATGAGAACACGTAAAGTATTCAGAACAATGCCTGACACATACAGGCACTTAGTTAATTTCAGCTTTGGTTCAAACCGCAATTTAATTAGCTGTGTGATCACAGGCAAATTACTTAGCTCCTCTTTGCATTCATTTCCCCCATTTGCAAAATGGGAATAACAGAAGTATCTACCATATAAAGTTATTGTGAGGCTTTAATGAGATAATGCATAAAGCATTAAGCATGGTATGTGGCATACAGGTATTGATTGACTTACGACCTATGCAACTTATGACCATTCGACTTTATGACCACAATCGCTAGCCACGACTGCTCCACTGCAGATTTTTGGAAACACTACAACATTTTGATGTGTATCAAGAATATCGCTACTGCCTGGGAGGCTGTGACGACAAAGTGCATGAATGGCATCTGGAAAAATTGTGTTAAGCGCTATGTTAATGATTTTGACGGATTTGACAGTGAACATGAACTTGAAATGATTCAGGAAAAAATAGTAAAACTCGCTAAAGACCTTTCTTTGGAGTGTGAAATGGAAGATGTCGAAGAGTTGCTAGACAAAGAATCCGGAGACCTTACAAATGAAGAGCTAATTGAACTGGAAGAAGAAAGAGTGGCGAAAGAAGAGAAGCAGAGAAAGAAGAGGAGGAGCCAGAAAGAAAGTTCACCACTAAGGAATTATCAGACGGTTTATCTTTACTGAATAAACTTCTTATACATTTCGAAGCAATGGACCCCAACATTGAATGATTTGCAAGGATTGAACGGATGGCGCATGATGTGTTTCGTCCGTATCGTGAAATTTATGAAGAAAAAAAGAAGAAACATACAATTCAGACAAAGCTCACCATGTTTATGAAAAAACCAACTCCGGTAACCCCAACTGTTGCCTCAGATGATGACATCAACGATCCGCAGCCAAGCACCAGCGGCCAATAAAATGTTTCGTACATGTTTATATATTTTGATATGTTTTGCAATTGGGAAAGTATTTCCTATGGTATTTTTTACACCCATATTTTATATTTTTGTATGCACCTGTATTTTGTAATTTTGTATGTTTTGCAAATATTAAGCCAGTTGTACTGGTAATGCAGTGTTTTACTTAAACCTGACGAATGTAAAAGTAAGAAACAAAATGATGTAGAGATGATACAAATGGCATAAAATGAACAAAGAAAATTATGATATATAACAATGAAATAAAATTATGATAAAATATGACTTAAAGATTTTTATAACATCATTTCACAGTACTGTACATATAGCCTACTCAACTTACGACCAAATCGTGTTACGACCGGTCTGTCTGACCCAATCGTGGTCGTAAGTCGAGCACTAGCTGTATAGCAAACTGCAACAAATGTTACCTACAGGTCCACGGTTTATTATTCCTAATTCCAAAAGTTAAAAATCCATTAAAACCAAGTTATTTTTATGACACCAAAATTTGTTTGCCAGCAAAACTTGATCTGACCCGATTCTGGGCTATTTATATAGTCTTTATCCCATTTAATATACACATTCATATGTTTTGCTAAAGACATGATACCATTTGAACAAGCACAGGGTAGTGGTGGGGGTGTAGTACATGCTATCTGTGCTGTAATACCTTTGTAAAATGTGAAAATATCTAAAATTACAGACTTATTTAGATAGAATGGTTTTAGACAAAGGATGATAGACCTACATTATTATTTACTATCCCTTCACAAGAAAGAGAACATACAGTTCTCAAATAGGCTAATACATCCAGAATTATTCCAAGATGGCAACTCAAAATATCATCCCAAAGCCTGAATCACCTGTGATAATAAGTTAATCAAAAACAGAGTAGAATATCAGAAGTTTCTCTATGAAAGAAAAGATTAAGAAAAAAGCCATAATTAAAAGTTAATGAGATATTTTACAAGTTTCCAAAAAAAGAGTTAAAATTTTAAAAAGTTTTGGTACTTAAAAAAAGGGTTAGAATTTTTTAAAGTTTTGGTACCTTAAATGGTTAGAATTGTATTTGTGAAAGTTTCAGATTCCAGGCTATCTCAATTCTGCATTGCTATAGGGATCAAGGGGCTACTACATACTACCTCTGAGTTTATCATTTATATTTCCAGCTGTTCCACAAATCCTCTAGGATTTTGTCCTCAGATGTAAAACTAAAGGTTGAAGTAGGTAGGACTCAAGAGTCCCTTCCAGTTTTAGGATCCTCTA